CCACACTGCCCACAAGCAGCACAGTCTCACTGTGCTTTTCTCTTGCTTCCCCCCCGCCCTCACCTCTTTTCTCTTACTTCTAGAACTCCTTCCCTCGCTCCTTGCAGGTCTCTGCTCAAATGTTCATTCTACCCAAAGTCCTCAGCAAACCTTTTCTGAAGCAGTGGTCCCTTCCCCACCACCTGGCTGTGCTTTCCCCACACCACACGGTATTGCTTAAGTGTTTGTGTGTGCATTTGCATGCACGCATACACACAAAAGTCAAGTCCAAACACCAGCTCCTTGAGCTTTGCCTGGCAGGGTGCAGACCTAAATATTTGTTGAATGAATGAATGAATGATAGTATGGGTACCACTGATACGTGTTCCCCTACACCAAGATGCATGGTCTTTTGTGGCTGTGAAGCCCTACTCTCCCTGAAGATAAGGCTGAGTGCTTTGGCTAGGGTGCCTGAGGAAGGAGGCCTGAGCTGGGAGGGAATCATAGGAATGAATGGCCCTTGAGTAGAAGTGACTTCCCAGCAGAGGGCTAGCAATAATGGATGTCAAGGTCTCCCGGTGTCTTGGCATGCAAATTCCCTAACCTGAATCAGCTGGGAAAGGTCTGGGAGGCCCCAGGACCAGACACACCTTGAGTTCTATCAGGACAATGTCTATTGTAATTTACTGGGCGGAGCTTCAGCCTGGTGCTTCTTGTCAGTCTTTCCTGTACCTGTTTGCTCAGTGGGAAAGGTAGCCTGCCCCCTGCTGCAGAAACCGAAAAGATGAAGTACAAAAGTCTCTGGCCACAGCAGGTATTAAAAGCTACTTTCCGGGGCTGGAGAGATGGCTCAGAGGTTAAGAGCACTGACTGCTCTTCCAGAGGTCCTGAGTTCAATTCCCAGCAACCACGTGGTGGCTCACAACCATCTGTAACGAGATCTGGTGCCCTCTTCTGGCATGCAGGCACACATGCTGTATACATAATAAATAAATCTTTAAATTGACCTCTGAAAAATAAAAAAAATAAAAGCTACTTTCCTCATAGATGTGGTTTTTTGTTTCTTTTTGTTTTGCTTTGTTTTTGTTTGTTTGTTTTGTTTTGTTTTTTTGGCAAGTTCTACCCATCATAGGCTCAGTAACCTTTTGGATGGGACAAGTTGACACCTACCTTCTGGCTGAGTTTGGAAGGAAGGGTGATATGACCACAGTCAACAAAGAGCACAAATACCTGTTTTCATAGGCAAATGTCCCAATGTAATGCTCTTAATAGCCAGACATGCTGCATTCTGTAGGTTACCCCTTCCTGCCTTATAAGAAACAGAACACTTGCCAAGCATGGTGACACATGCCTAGCACTCCGGAAGCAGAGGCAGGAAGATCTCCGAGTTCAAGGCCAGCCTTGTCAGAGTAAGTTCCAGGACAGCCAGGGCCACACATAGAAACTCTGTCTTGAGCAACAAGTTAAAAGAAGAATCAGTATGGCGGTTTCTCAGAAAATTAGGAATCGAACTACCTCAAGACCCAGCCATACCACACTCTTGGGCATATAACCAAGGAATGCTGATTCATACCACAAAGATACATGCTCAACTATGTTCATAGCAGCACTATTTGTAATAGCCAGAACCTGGAAACAACCTAGATGCCCATCAACTGAAGAATGGATTAAGAAAATGTGGTATATATACACAATGGAGTACTACTCAGCAGAGAAAAACAATGACAGCATGAAATTTGCAGGCAAACGGATGGAACTAGAAAAAATCATCCTGAGTGAGGTAACCCAAACCCAGAAGGACAAACATGGTATGTACTCACTCATAAGTGGATTCTAGATATAAAGTAAAGAACAATCAGACTACAACCCACAGAACCATGGAGGCTATATATATAGCACGGGGGACCCTAGGATGACTGTGGCTTATAATAAGTTTTGGTTTTACTCAATTACTGAGCAAGCCTCAATGAAACATTTCACTATTAAGATAAGAATTTAGCCGGGCGGTGGTGGCGCACGCCTTTAATCCCAGCACTCGGGAGGCAGAACCAGGAGGATCTCTGTGAGTTCAAGGCCAGCCTGGGCTACCAAGTGAGTCCCAGGAAAGGCACAAAGCTACACAGAGAAACCCTGTCTCGAAAAACCAAAAAAAAAAAAAAAAGATAAGAATTTATACTGTATCAAACTGATAATAGAAAAATAAATAAATTAATTAATTTAAAAGATAAAAGAAAAATTTGAACTATTAAAAAAAACAAAAAAAAAGAAGAAGAAGAGGAGGAGGAGGAAGGGAAGGGAAAAGGAGGGAGGGAAGCCAGGAAGGAGGGAGGGAGGGAGGGAGGGAGGGAGGGAGGGGAGGGAGGGAGGGAGGGAAGGCAGGAAGGAAGAAAATAGAACACATCTGAGCCCAACAGGATTCCTGTTTGTGAAATCTTGAAATGCATTCTTAAATTGAAGTCTTAAATTGGGCGTGGTCAGTCCTGCTGAGTGACAGCAGGAAGGCTATCCTGAAGTCAGCACAATAGAGAGGGACCTCACTGTCCTCTGGGAGGGACGCAGGACTGCCTCTACCCAGAGATCAGGCAGGCAGCTACAGCAGATGGATTTTCACTGATGAAAATTCAACCATGGCTAGCTACTCCTAAGGGCAAATGTCTTCTCCCTCCCTCCCTTCCTTCTTTTCCATATCTGTATTTCTTCCTTGAGACAGTCTCTCATGCTCGTCTTGAACTTGTGATCCCGTTGCCTCAGCCTCCCTAGCACTCATAATCCAAGGTGGCACACACCAACGCTTTTTGAGAATCTGACTGAAACCATGGATCCCGCTTTTTAGAGAGACGCTCTTGCCACACATAACTCCGACGTCAGCAACCGTGAAGGGGGGTCAGATCTACTGAGATCTCTGAGCACCATATCCTGGGGACGGGAAAAAGCTGAGAGAAGGTCCAAAGACGGGCGGTCACTCAGCTTGGCCACACCACCAACCCAAAGGAGGCAGAAAGCTGCCGGGAGGTGGTGGGTTCAAGAGCCCGCAGTCCTTCAGTGTGTGCCTGGCAGTGGCTCCTGGTGGGAAGGGAGAGCCAAGTGTGGCAAGGAGCTCATCTAACGGATGACATGGACACATCTCCAAGTACGACAGCAAGGGCTATGGAGAGTGAGACTGGGAAAGAAGGCTGCCCTCCTTCCTATCTGCAAACAAAACCAGACCACGTCCAATTAACCGGGCCTCACTTCTGTTATCTCAGCTGGGGCCTCTCCTGTCTCTCTTCTAGCTGTCCTTCCAAGACCCGGGTCCTACTCTGTAGCCAGGGGCCAAATTCTGACTTGGAAGGAACTGGAGAGAAATGATAGCCATCATGAGGTCAGTGGGGACAATGAAGCTTCTCAGCACACCTCCTCGGCAAACAGAACCTCTTAAGTTGCAGAATGAATGAGTCCCCTAAACAGAAAAAAGAAGAAAAAAAAAAAACCCAAACCAAACAAAACCTCCTAACGACGTTGTGCAAGGGAAAAGGAAATTGCACTTTGCAAACAAATCTGGAAAAGGTGCTGACACTGGACAGATAAGGAGAACAAATTGCTCTCTTGCCTGCAGCTCGCTGTGTACATAGGAGCTCAAGAGGCCAGGGGTTTCAAAAGCAGATAACCTCATTAGCAGACTGCCACTTACGGACAGGAGGAATGGCCCCTAAGCCGCAGTGGGGCAGTTAGAAATCAGTTTCCAGGCAGGCACCACCTGGACGGAGGGCAGCGGGACTGGAACCGAGGTGGTGACAGGGAGGTGACGCACACCAGGAGTAAGCAGGAGCCTCACGGCATGCACCTGGGTTGACCTTGAACCCTGACCCACCAGAGCTACTTCCTCAGAGGCAGATCCTGCGAGAAGGTCACTCCTAGAAAGTCATTCCTAAGTTACTCATTCACTGTCAGATTTTATTTTCTAGGAACTATTTAATTTACTTTGCAATTGTGTGTCTTCAAAAGATATTTTCCTTTAGAAGACACCTCATCTTTTCTCCCATTTACTGTGTACCCCAGATCTCTGCTTTGCGACCAGGAAGGGGGGTTTATGAAATCAGGAGTGAGGATAAAGACTCTCCAACTTGTGGGATGGCAAAAAAAAAAAAACAGGTTAAGATTTCAGGACTAGAGCGATCAGACTCAGGAGCCAGAACAAGGAAGCTGTTCTTCCAGATGCCTTATTTGGACACCAGTTTTTGACATCTTACTGACGGTTATTAAGCAGGCATTTCAAGGGCAAGAAGCTGTTTTCACACAATACCTTTTTAGACATTTCCAGGAAAGTATGAAAATACAAAGAACAGAGGCACTGGGTTGAAAGTCCTGCAGGATTGGGGCTGGGGTTCCTACTGGGCCTTGCCCCTTCCTGAGTTGGGGAACTCCACACTCCTCCGGGTCTCTCCCTCTCTCCTGCTTCTCCTCTCTCGTCTTTCTGTCTCTTTCTGTCGTGTTTGCTTTTGGCAGAAGACCTGTTCTCCTCTCTCCCCCACCTCAGCCTGACTCACCTTCTCCAGGAGGAGGACGCTTGCACGCTCAGCTCCCTCCTCAGGCCCAGGCCCCTCAGTGGGTCTGTGCACCAGCACTCTACACACTTGTTGGCTGTGGTTTGTCAAATACTTGTAGTCATTTTCCTGTGGGTGTGTCCTTTCTCCTGCTGGTGCCCTTGTGCCCGGCTTCCTTGCCCAGAAGGTTCTGGGTGTGGAGGTCAGGACTGGGAGGGGAGGGGAAGGTGTACAGCCCTTCTTCCTGGCTAGAGGATACAGGAAGAGGCTATGTGGGCAATCAAGTAATCAAGGTGAGGCTGTCACTTCCTCCCTCCCTCTCTCTCTCTCTCTCTCTCTCTCTCTCTCTCTCTCTCTCTCCTCAAGAAGATGGCTTGAGTCTCACCAAATGAATGCTGAAGTAAGGCTGGGGACAATTTGGAAGGTGGGGGTGCATTCAGAAGTAGAAGGGGCTGAGAGCCGGGCCCTATGTGGTAGCAAAGGATAAGCATGACTTACCCTCCACAGTGACTTGGCAGGAGCACTCCGCCTGGCCCGCGCTGTTCTTGGCTACACACTTGTACAAGCCCCTGTCCTCAGGCAGTGCCTTCTCGATGGAGATGGAGAAGAGTGAGCCTGGGGATGGGGAGAGAGAACAGGAAAGGCTGTAAAGGACCAGGTAAGGGTGCAGTCCCTGCCCTGGTATCTGGAGCACAGAAGGTGTCTTTACAAGCCCCTTCTCAGAATCCAAGAGCAGAGGCCAGCTGAGAATTTGGCTCTCTCCTCTCTGAATCTTCAAACTCTGTTGATAACCTACTCCAAAAGAGGCTAATTCCTAATCAACTCCTCCAGGATCCCTCCCCCACTGGAGGGCCCTTTTAGGAAGCTGCAGAAAGAGAGAAGTAACCTTAGTCAGTGGAAAGAAGGTGGCAGCGGGGGTGTGTGTGTGGGAGAGCAGATGGGCATGGCCTGCCCCTTACACAGAGCAAAAGGAGCCAGGTACAGTCTCCTGGGGACAGTGGCCAGGGAGAAGTCACCTAGCAGTGATGCTGGGGGATACTGCTTGGTTAAAGGAGTTTTTAAAGCCGGGCGGTGGTGGCGCACGCCTTTAATCCCAGCACTCGGGAGGCAGAGCCAGGCGGATCTCTGTGAGTTCGAGGCCAGCCTGGGCTACCAAGTGAGTCCCAGGAAAAGGCGCAAAGCTACACAGAGAAACCCTGTCTCGAAAAACCAAAAAAAAAAAAAAAAAAAAAAAATAGGAGTTTTTAGAAAAAACAAAACAAAACAAAACAAAAATGTGTTTGGCCAGGCAGTGGTGGCATAGGCCTGGAATCCCAGCACTCGGGAGGCAGAGGCAGGCGAATCTCTGTGAGTTCGAGGTCAGCCTGTTCTACAGAGTGAGTTTCAGGACATTCAAGGCTGTGACACAGAGAAACCTTGTCTCGAAAAACCCCAAAACTGATAAACAAACAACTCCCCAATAAATGTGTGTATGGAGGTCTGAAGACAGCTTTCAGGAGGTTCTCTCCTTCCAACATGTGGGTGCCTGGGATTAAACTTAGGTCATCAGGCTTGGTGGCAGGCACATGTTCCCACTGAAACATCTCATCAGCCCAAGATAAGAAAGGGGGTTTTGAGTGATCAGGAGAGCAGGAGAGGGTGGGAACCCTTGTCCAACACAGACACGGGCCCTTGGGATGATCTCCTGTGAGAAGGTAGTGGCTCTGGTGTGTGACTGTGGCAAAAGGCTTTTCAGGAAGAGTTACGGCTGAAGAACAAGCCGACGAGGGGTACTAGGCCAGAGGAGAGACTCCTGAGGCAGCCTTCTTACAGGGTTGGACCGTCTGGCCCCTCAGGAGGGGTGAGGATGGCCTCTTTCCTTACAGCCCGCGTGGGTTACCCTTGCATAAGAAACACCTCCGGCGGCCCATAGCTGGACAGGGGGAAGGCAGGCTGAGCACATACAGGAGCTCAGGGATCCATTCCTTCCCCATCCAGTTCTCTCATCCCCAGACTGATCAGGTCTCTTGGATCATCCTTGGGTGGGTGAGTGGGGGATCATCCCAGCCTGGCCAGTCAGGGGTGCAACCATCTGCTAGGTCCTACCTGGAGACACGTAAACAAGCCTACAGCATGGCATCCTGCTCAAGCTACGCATGTCAGTGCAACAGCCATCCCAAGGGAAGGGCAGAGCAGAGCCATGTCCGTCCCGCTGCCTGTAAGCTACCCATTCCCTACATCCCCCAGGCCACTGGCCCTGGGAGGGCAGCTGTGTGCATCCCAGGTGTATGGGAGGGCAGCTGTGTGCATCCCAGGTGTATGGGAGGGCAGCTGTGTGCATCCCAGGTGTATGGGAGGGCAGCTGTGTGCATCCCAGGTGTATGGGAGGGCAGCTGTGTGCATCCCAGGTGTGTGGGAGGGCAGCTGTGTGCATCCCAGGTATGTGGGAGGGCAGCTGTGTGCATCCCAGGTGTATGGGAGGGCAGCTGTGTGCATCCCAGGTGTATTGGAGTGGAGGACAAGATGGGCACTATTCCCAGGGGGAAGTTTGGAACTCAAAAGTGTAACCAATCACTACCTCCCCTCCTGCTCCGTTACATGGTTAGACAAAGCTGACGGCAGGAAACGGAGAGAACAAGGATAGCATGAACTGGGCCCAGAGCACCATACCCAGGCTGGAGAGTTGAAAAGGCCACACTGTTTCGTGGGGTAGCGCAGCTGATCTGTGTTTCCCCTTCCCCCCGGCTCCAGCTCTTGAACAGGTCTCACTCTGACTTTCCATGGGGAGGGCAATGGGCCACCATATATATCTTCCCAACCGCAACAGAAAGGATTTAAGTCTGGCATGGGAGTAACAATTGGGAGGCACAGGGACAGGGGAGTGAGGGCAGCTATTCATTCCCTCCATCTGGGTGGGGAGGAGGATGGTAGAATGACCCCTGGCCTGAAGACAAGGCTCAGAAAAAACCCACCCACCTCTGAAGTTCCCTGGTCTGGGAGGACATAGTCCATTCCCCCATCCCCAAGTTATACCCTGTTTCATAACCCGTTTATTTTTTGTTGTTGTTGTTTTGTTTGTGGGTTTGTTTGTTTCACATTTTGGTCCCACATTTGGCTGCGTGTGGCCTGACACTTAAATGACAGATACAGTAGAAGTAGTCTGACGCGCAGTGGCCTATTTGAACAAGAGCCCACCTTTCTTCCCAGCCCTCCAAGGCCCCAGCAGAGCTTAGCCATGGCCACGTGCATCCCTGGGCTGGAAGAAGACTGGGCAGGCTGGAGGCTGGCCACCCCAGATGAAGAATCTGGTATTTCCTGTGGGACGGCTCATTCTTGACCTCCAGAAGAAAACTGTTTCCCAGCATTTTTTTTTTTTTTTTTTTTTGGAAGCCTCAGCCTGTCAGCCTGGTAGGGAGTATTGAGAAGGAGTGAGGCGGGGGATGGGAAGCTGAAATCCACTGAGTGGTTCAGCAGGAGCTCTGTCAAGAGACCCTCCTGGATGGGGGGAGTCACTCTTCTGTGACTGAAGATACCCCCCCAGCTCTTTCATTTCCTGAGTGGGTGGGGAGAGGGGATAGAAGGGGCTAGGACTGGGGTCAGGGGGTTGCCTGAAGCCCTGGAGGCTCCTGGTTATTTCGAAAGCCTCCCTGACCGGCCCTACCAGTAGGCACTGACAAACACTGTCACTCACCTGGGGTCCCTTCCTTGGACACAGTGTCCTCTGTGCCACCTCTAAGGCCCCAGCTCTCGCTGTACCTCTCCTGGGCTTCCCCAGGCATCTGACACACAAAGCCTATCTCAAGGCCATTGCTGAATCACACTCCTGTCTCCCATGCTAGCCCTGAGGGCAGTAACCATGTCTGGAATGCAAGGGCAATAAGAAGTAGTTGAGATTATCTGAATGACAGAGGGTATTTCCATAGCAGGTGATCTGGAAGGATCTATGCAAGACCAGGTCACAAACATTTCATCAATGATATATATTAATATATATTGCTGAAAAAGATAAGACCGTTTCTAGATAGAAAGAAATAGATAATTCCAACAATAATTGCTTGTATGGATTCTACCTACAAGCAAAGGTGCTATATATAATTAATGCCTTGTACGTAGTAGGTGCTATACGATTTGTAGGATGAATTTATACAAGATTGAAAAAGCCTTCATAAGATTCCACCCTGAAGGCAATTAAAAATGAATCATCTCTTGATAATAGCAACAAAAACAAAGCGTCATTACTAGGCTGGGAGAAATGTTTTGCTAGGGAAAGCCCAGCCTGGAGGCAGGAAGAAAACATGGAGATAAAGGCCCTTTTATTGCTACCTCAACCCTGCCTAGACTCCAGGGTCATCCCTATAGCCAAGATAGGTCTGGAATAGGAGGCCTGCCTGTCCCTGGAGGGCAGGTCCAGCTGATGGTCCCCTGAACACAGACATCCCACACCTCTGGGTACCAGAAGAGGAAGACCACCTCCACTTGATTGATCCTCCAAGAATTGACTAAATGATCAAATCCCACCAATGGCCAGCACACCTCTTCTCGGGATTTCCCCAGCACTAAGTGGGGCGGATGTAATCCTGTCCTGCCGGCTCTGGGGCTCAGCAGAGGAGCCTTCCCATCCCATACATACACAGGCATTCCCTAGCAGTGGCAGCTCTGAAATCCACATATTGATTGTGTATAAGGATGATGTGGGTGTCTCTTGACCAAAGTGACAGGAGTCTGAGAAGGTATCCTCGAGGAAGTGAGTCTTGATGGGGGGTGGGGGGGATTGACAGTGCAATCAGAGGTAGAGGTGCAGAGGTGCTGGGGGACAGGAAGGCAGGACTTACCCTTTCTCCCTCCTCATCACCTCAAATCACCCCTGTGGCCCAAGAGCACTCAGTCTGCTCCATCTCCCTCTTCTTTCCCCAGCCCCAGCCATCACCCTGCCCTTCAAGCCAGGCCACAGGTTTTTATAGCAGATGTCTGTACTTCTTGCCCTGGATTCTTTCCCTTTGTGGCTGTGCTCACCTTGGCAGGATGGACCTCGCCACCATCCCCCCTGATGTCTTCAGCAGTCTCCATACTTGCCACTGGCCTGGAGTCAGTCACAGGCCCTAAAACCCAACTTCCTGTGTGGCATTCCTCACTCCCGCATCTCACCTGCGTGGCTCTCTGTTGCTTTTAGACATGTTCTCTGACAGGATGTGGACTGAAGTCAGGGCCAAGTAAGCCACTCTGGCCAGTCCAGATAGGCCCATTTGCAAGCCTTCAGTGCTTGGGGCCTTTAGTGCCCCAATCCCCGTTACAGGGACCACCTACCGCTGGCTTCCCTGACCCAGGGTCTGGCCTACTTTCTGGGCACTGAGGGAGGCCAGGGGCTTTCCCACCTGCCATTCCTTTCCTTAGTGCTTTGTTCCAACAGTTTTATGATAGTGAGCCTATGTCCTCTCTGGCAGATCTACTAGGAGCAGATTCCTGGCCACCTTGCTGCCTTCCTGGACCAGATAGGTGTCTGACAACTGATAAGCCCTAAGATGCACTTCCCCCTGACAAAACCCCTCTTAAAGACTTGGTGAGTGCAGGCTTGGGAGGTGGGGCTGTTATCTGGAGGACAAGCACTCTCCCCTTCACTGTGGCAAGAGAGGCTCATGTCAAGGTCTGCTCTCTCCATCACAGAGAAAAGACCAGACACTTGGAAAGCCTAGGGTACCACCTGTCTCCTGATATTTTTTTGTCTAGTCATAAAAATCTCAACTATGTGAATTACAATCCCAGCTCTGTGACTTAAGAGCTGTGAAACCTTGGGCAATTTACTTAACCTCTCTGTTAGAAAGATCCCTAGTAGTGTGGATGAAGTGAACAGAAAGTGTAAGACGTCTCGGATGGCATGCTACGTGGCGTTGGCGTTCAACTGATGTAAACAAGATATTCTTACTTTGAAATGCTCTTTCCATAGTCTCCCCACTGACTCCACCCCCATCCCTTTTCTCATGCTGGCCTGGCCAGCATTTCCTCTGTTGTCACTGAGGATGTCAGTCCTTCCCTTTGGGAGGCGAAGATGTTGCTTACATCTCTGCTCTAAAGTTTACTCCAAGCCACCCAGGCCTAAGAGAAGTCAGTGGCCCGTGGCTGAGGAGCACTTTTCCGATCAGGTCTGCCTGACACTGCTCAGTTGAACAGATGGTCTATAAGTGGCCAGTGGTGGCTCTGGCTTTGGGAACTGCCACTTTCACCACTGTTTGAACCTCAGTTTCCCTGAGGTGGATGTACTCATGGACAGTACTGGGCAGGATTCCATCACTTAGATGTCCCAGGCTGGTGGCTGTCCTCCATCCTGCCCGGAGAGGTCCCTGGACACGGTGACCTGGGAAACACCCCTGGTCAAGCTTTTCCAGTTTGTGTGAGGGAGGGAGGCCCTTGGGGACAACGGGGAGGATGGCGGCGTCCACTGTCTCGCTCTTCTCACCCTACCACAGTGGCCCTAAGACCTCCAGTGTGTGGACATCATAGACATGGAACTAGCAGACATGGGGACAGATATCTTCTGGAGAATTCTGACCAGCTGGGGACATCCATGTGAAAAAGTTACTGTGTCAGCACATTAGCAGAAGGCCACACCATCTCTCTGCTGAAAGAAATTCCAGATTGCCTCTTGGTCCTTCAACATTTAGACTCTGTATATTCTGGCCCTCTGGGTTAGCTGGCTGAACTGTGGAGTAAGGGACAAGGAAGGACACTGCTATCTGCAAATGCCTTCTTCCAGGTTTCTGGAGGTAGACAGCTGTGGGATGAGGAGAGAGGGGGTGGAGAGGGAGTGACCAGAGGATAGCTAGAGACAGAGGAGGGGAAGAATGGGCTGACCTGTCAGTGCACTGGCATTTGCTAAGACCTGTCCGCTCAGCCTCTGCAAAGACAGTTCTCTGCACCCCAAGGGCTCATGCCACATCCTGGGAACTTCTTCATGACTCACTAGGGTCAGCTCTAGCTCAGGCAGGACCCCATCCCTCCGCTATCCACCTCAGTGGGCTGTGGGATGTTATCTGACTTAGGAGTCCCTGGCAGGACTTGGGATGGATAACAATGCCTTAAAACACACTGGGGGCTGGTAAGGGACGCAGCTGCAGGTAAAAGTGTTTGCTGCCCAACCTGACCGCCTGAGTTTGATTGCAGGGGACACACACGGTGGAGGGAGAGAACCAACTCATACACGTTGTGTTCTGACCTGCACATATGTACCACGGCAGTGTGGCCACATTCATAATCAATCAAGTCACCCCCTCCCCGCCCCCCCCATATATACAGAGATATACAATAAATAAATGAATGTAAAAAGAACAGTAAACCATGCCAAGGGGCTGGTGATAAATCTCCTCTCACCCCCATTTTCTCTGGTGTAAACTGGCCCATCTGAGAACTCCAAAGCCCAAAAGGCCATAGGTGGCAGGACTTTCACCATCCCCCAACCAAGAATGTGAAACACCAGCAAACAAAAGTCTCATCCAAATTAGGAAGCAAGGAGAGGCTCTGTCCCGCGTGAGTGTGGCCATCGGGCTGTGCCGAGTGTTTGGCTTGCCCACGGGCCCCTTCAGACCCACAATGTTCTCAAGACTGAACTGTTGCTGACGCCAGTCCCGAGTTCCACACCAGCACGCCAACCCACTGTTTCCTAAACTCAAATAACACTTCTTAATTAGTAATGGGCTCAGGGCCCCCAGCTGACCTCAGCTCCAGGTCCTCCCGTTCCCAGTCTGCAAGCATAGCTCTCTTCCCGAGGGTGGGGAGATGTTGGACAACTCGGTCCTGGGTCTGCTCACAGGGGTCCTGGGTGGGGTGCCTTCTGGAGCCTTCTGGAGAAGGCTCTGCCAGACAGACCCCAAGGCACAGCACGTACCCCACAGATCAGAAAGCCAACTCTCACCCACAGTGGAGTCATGTATACAGCTAAGGCCCCTCAGTTGGGAGCCCATCCTGTAAGCGAGGTAGGAATAGGGATGGCTATTCCAACTCAGGCTATGGCTACAAGTGACCACCAGGAAGACTGCAGCTTCATGCTTTGACAGTGACCCAGGTAGGTACAGGCTCCCCAGCTTCCCTACCCTCACCCCCCGTTTACCTTCTTGGGAGAGGATGATGAATTTTGTGGTCTTGAGTGTCTTTCCATTCAGTGTCCAGGTGACAGTGGCCGGGGGATCAGAGGTCACCTGGCACTGGAGTAGCAGCTTCTCACCCTCGGCCACATGGACGTCTCGGAGCTTTTCCTTGAAGACGGGGGCCGAGCCTTGGCTCTCTGGTCTCTTTTCATTGCCTGTGGCTCCGGCATGCCCTTTCTTACAGTTCACATCATTCTTAACCTCCTTGGGTTCTTCTTTCCCAGCTGGTTTCAGGGTCTCCGCAGGCTTGGCATTGGCCACGGGCTTTCGGGTCTCAGTAGGCTGTGCATTGCCTATGGGTTTCAGGGACCCCGCAGGCTGTGCGTTGGCTATGGGTCTCGGAGTCTCAGTGGGTTTGGCATTGGCTGCAGGCTTCAGGGTCTCAGCAGGCTTGGCATTGCCTATGGGTTTCAGGGTCTCAGCAGGCTTGGCATTGCCTATGGGTTTCAGGGTCTCAGCAGGCTTGGCATTGCCTGTGGGTTTCAGGGTCTCAGCAGGCTTGGCATTGCCTGTGGGTTTCAGGGCCCCAACTGGCTGTGTACTGCCTACAGGTGTGGGGCTTTCCCCAGCATTGTTACTGCCGTTCTCTGTGGGCGATTTCTTCTTGCCACCTAACACCGAGCGAAAGTCTGGGGTGGCAGCTTTTGGAGGTGGCGCCTTCTCCGGAATGGGGGTCTTAGGGGTCGTCCCCTTCTTGGCTAGGACAGAGCGGAAGTCAACCTGCTGGGGGCTATGCACCTTCCTCTCCTCCTCGGACACGGTCTTTGGCTTCACTTGCCGCTGGAGGTTGGCGCGGAAATCCATCTGCTCGGCTGGGATCTCCTTCAGGTCTTCTTCAGATACGGTCTTGGTGCTCACCTTCTTTCCCAGGAGGTCGCGGAAATCCAACTGCCCCACCTCCTGCTGGCGGATGGCCTCTTCGGTGTGCAGCCTGGTCTCCACCCGTCTCTTCAGCAGGCCCCTCACGTTGTCGTCGTCGACGTCTCCGTCCTCCTCCTCTGGCCAACCCTGCCCTCTCGCTGGCCAGCCAGGCCTCAGGGTCCCATCACGGTCACCATCATCACCATGAGCACCAACTCCTCCACTACAGAGGCCCTCACAGCCGGCAGGCTCCCGCCCCCTGCAACAACCAGTGAGGGGAAAAAGGGAAAGTAGCAGGAGGAAAAGGGGTTGGGTAAGGCAGAGACGTCAGGGGAGAGCAAATCCCTGAGGGCGGAGGGTAGAGAGGAGGAGGAGGAGGGGGAAGGGGACGTGGGGGCCGGCCAGGCTGTGTTTATAGAAGGGAACATTGGTGAGAGGCGCTCACTTGCCTAGTTGGTTTATTATATCGGTAATGACTTCAGTAGCCTTATAAGGGTGTGTGCAAAAAAAAAAAAAGAAAAGAAAAGAAACACACATCACCCCCTCCTTTGCCTCCTCTGCCCTCCCTCCTCCTTCATCCCCTTCCAATCTTTCCCTTTGGCTCTGGTAGTCTCAGTAGGAGGACACAAACAATCCCAGGCTTCGGGGGCCAGGAGGAGGGTGGCGGGTGCAGGGGCCTGACCAGGCGACTGCTGGGGGCACTCACCGTGGTGGGGCTCTGGCCGGACTGTTGTGCAGCATCAGGGACACCTGGCAACTACACTCGCCAACCCGGTTCCTGATGGAGTCAAGAGCAGGACAGTAAGGACTGTGAGACTCCCTGGGCAAAGGACCTATTCAGCCCAGGGCTGGAAGGAGTACAAGGCAAGTGTAGACTTGGTCACGGGCTGGAGGACCATCGGGGAAGGAGGAGGCCTAGGGCTTAGCTGTGGCATCTATCCCGGACTTAGATTTAGGGTAGAGCTCTGACCCTGTGGTCAACCTTGATTTTTATAGTTCTGGATTATAAAGAAGAGGAAGGATAAAAACTATCTAGGACAGCAGCAGCATGCACAAGTGGGAATCCTTTCTAAACACTATCAATTGATCACTTAGTCTAAGAATAAAGGCTGCTGGCGGCTGTGATGAAGCCGCTGGTCTATACAGACGGGCCCGGCTCAGATGCCCCGTGATCTGATTCCATACTCCCTCAAAGCGGTGACAATCCTTTCCCCAACGGCTGAATTCTCCTTGAAAACAGCCCCCATCAACTGGAACATTCTGTGTTGTTCTGTGTTAAAAAACCTAACAAGCGTGTCTCCCAACATGGGTGGCCTTTCTTTCCCTCCTTCAGGTGGGGAGGGCTCCGGATCCTTTACAATCACAGAACTTTTCGGCCTCCAGGGGTGCATGGCTGGCTGAGGCCCCTCTTCTTAGGCAGGGGCTCAGTGGCTAACAGGGTGGATTCAAAGCAGATGAGCCCTCTGGCCTACGAGGGTGCCCTCTGCTGGCATTTCAAAGGGATGTTTAGGGAAGGGACCAGTCTGGGAATTAAATGGGTAGGTTCTACCATTCCAAGGACTGTGTTTATCCGGGACTGTCTGGCCCTCACGACTGCCACATGCTTTGTCTTGTTCTCTACAACATGCCAGCTAAGTTTGGCAAGTGTAGGAAAGCACTGGAGGCTGTGGGGATTATGCAAGGCAGTGCTGGGACTCTCAGGTCCCACTTAGTAACATCGCCTTAGTAGCACTGCTAGCTCCGAGGGACCCTTTTAGGTTCCATGACAGACATAGCAGCTTCCAGCTCTGGGACCTCTTCCTTACATAACCTGCCTCATTTCATTTATGGTTCCAACAGGTTAGAGACAACACTGTCCTTTTAAGACAAACGGAGTGTGTGAAGGTTAAATAATGTGCCTAAACACACAGAGTTAACTAGCAGGGACAGGGGCTGGATCTACCTCCTTGTGGCCTGCAGGCAGGTCCCACGGTGTTCATCAGAACCAGTTGGCTCTGGGATCTTTGTGTGTTTCTTGGAGTGTCTGTATACACGTGTGCCTTAACCACAGGAGTGGATACACACATAAGTGTATGGGTCCACCTGGTAGGCACCTACACTTTGAATCTGGGAATACGTGCTTATCCCTCCTGCTGCCACTGTGGTACGCCTACCTCATTTTGTCTGGCACTTCCTCTTCGAAAGACACTAGCAACCGATAGTGTGCTTCTGCTCTCAGGGTCTGTGGATTTGCTCCTCATTTTCGGGCAGGGACCCATGCAAAACTAGGTCAGACCTATGTGCTCTCTTCCAGGCCTCTCTCACCTGTTGGGGCCTCCTCCTTTGCCCCACTTCTTGCCTGTGCGTCATCCCAGGCTCTGCCTTGCGAAGATCCCTTTCTGTACCTTCGGCCCTCTCATTCTTCTCTCCTCCCCTGTCAGCTCCTGTCTGTCCCCTCTTCCAGGCCCAGGTTCTCTGAAGCTACCGATTCAAGGAACCTGCAGAGTCCAGGCTATACCTCTGCTTAATAAACAACTCATTAGCGCCAGGCTGTAAGCATGATCCCTGGTGCCCTGATCCTGCCCGGTCACTGGGCAGTGTTAGGCCATTCTTTCCTTACTTCACACTGTTCCGTGCCTGATACTGGCATGGAACACAGCAAGACGCCCAGTGGGTGTTTACTCGGTAGCTCTTTTCCACATATCCTCACTGAGTTTCCTCTTGTCATAAGGCATAGGAATCAGGAGAAAATACTGACCAGATGGCCCCACTTTACCCTAGCCACACACTAGGAGGCTGTGAACCACAGAGTTGAGCTGTTTGCTGAGCTGGAGCAAGGCTTAGCTATACCTCCCCATGGAAGGAAGCAAATAAGGGCTCGAGTCATCATCATGACCTGTCCCCATGGAGGGGACTACAGACAAAGATCAAGTCCTCAGAGTCTCTACCTACCCACAGATCTCACTCTGAGGTCTCCAGACAGCTGGGGCAGCAGAGCACTGGTACACCATGGCTCAGCTACTGGGGTAACTATCCCGAAAGCCTAAAATGCAAACCTCTACTGATCCTTGAAAGCAAGTCATGGGTTCTTCTGGAGCCTACAAAGCTCAGATAGACTCCCGACTGGGATCATCTACCAGTGTCCTAACCAGCAGGAACAGCATCTTGAGACAGCTTAAATATCACTCACACGCTATTAAGAACTTGGGTGGAGACTGAGGCTCTGCCCTGGTGTTGCCACACAGGACACAGCAGTCCCTCTGAACGCTACACCTACCATTAATATGGAGACCTTTGGCTCCCCTTTCCTGGGCCCCTTATAAGAAGCTCTTGCTCTGGTTGGAAGCCTTGCATCAGGTCTGACCCCAAACCACCCACGCATAGGATGATTTTATATACAAAGGTAAAGAACTGATTTCCTGGAACATATCTGTGTTCTCAGCTGGTTTGGAGTTGACTTGTTTAGCTCTCCTCTTGATCAGATCTTGCGAAGGGAAGGGAAAGTTAAAGCTCACCCACATCCACTGCTCCATATAAGCAGAAACAGACTGGACCCCCTGGTTTCCTCCCAGCCACCCAGACTTCCTCCTCGAAAGGCCCTCCACCATGGGTTAGTTCTGACTTCTGTCAGGACAAAGAAAGTGAGAAGGAACAAGGTCCCTGGAAGGCCTGGCAAGTGCTCCTCAAGAGAACTTTCCACCGACTTACTCCATTTTTGCTGGGGACAGAGCCAACACCATGGCAATGGCCTCCCGGAGGAATGAGGAATCCAGACTTTGGGAGGAAAAGGGCAAGGGATGCGTGGCTGAATTGGTCAGCGTGAATTCCCGGTTCCCCAATTCCCAGTGCATGGAAAGACACTCCCAGCGATAGGCTGCCAGAATGGAAGAACATCTGATCGAAGTCAGAAGACAAGGGCTCGAACTTAGGCTCAGCTCATGGCCATGATCAGGTCGGTGACCTGAGACCTCAGTGTCCCTGAATATCAGATGAGAAGGCTAGATAATTTCCGCATTCCCTTCCGCTGGGATAGGCTCCATTTTATGACTGTCCCCAGCTGGTCCCAGACAGTCTGCCTCTTGCCCTTCCAGTGTAACCCCCCTCTAAGGGTCTGGCAAACTTCTTATAGCCCTTTGCTTTGTGCCCTCTAGCCTCCTTCTTTCTTGGCTCATTTAAAAGCTAAGTCCTTTTTCACTGGCCAAGACCCAGTCTTTCTTTTTGATTCAAAATCTCACAAAAAGCCAGGAGGTGGAGGCAACAGAATCGGGAGTTCAAGGTTATCCATATTGAGTTTGAGGCCACCTGGGCAATATGAAATCGTATCTCATAAAACCAAACCAACCGAACAAAATCTAACAAAAAAAAAAAAAAACCCTTCATCTCTTATAGGATATCTAGCTTGATTAACACACGTATCATCTCAAAGTACTGTTCCTTCACCAGAAAGTATTGTCACATCAAGTCAGCTTCTGCCCTAGTACTGGCCTAGTGAGCAAGGCTCCTATCACAGAGGCAGGTCTGTCCCCCTGGTAATAATGAGTTCAAGCATAAGGCAAAGTCAGTTGACATAGTCTAGGCACAGGGCTGATGGTAACAGGAAAACAGATAATTGTAAGAAGGTCCTGTGTTTAGTTCAGATCCACAGAGCTCGGCCCATATGGGGCATAACTCCTGAACAGACCCAAAGATTTCTAAGAAATAATAGCTTTCTTTTTTTAAAAATGCACTTCAAGGTATCTGGGGTGGTCTATTATGTAGCAACGGCCAGCCGATGTAAGTAGAAAGCACATGCTCATAATTACTGTAGGCACAGTCTGCCATCACAACAAACGCCTTGGCATGTGGCTTATAGAGCGGATCCTGACGAACATGATGGGCTCAGTGTGGGGACTTGGTAAAGTTCAGGAAGGAAGTTACAAAGTAGTCAGGCACCCATTAAGGCTATGTAAAGACTAGATAAACAGTCACAACGGAGCCCCTGTGACTGAGTACTAGTGGTTGTAAAGAGGAGGCAGAGGAAGACCGTGACATGCACACACGCTCTCTGCCTCTTGCCATGTGAACCCTCAAACCACCCTTTGCCAGCAGGAAGACCATCATCAAATAAAGCTACCACCCTTGGACCTACAGAGACCTTTGTTTATAAAGCTATCAAGCTTCAGGCATTTCATTATAGTAACAGAAAATGAATTAACACATCAGTCCACAGAAACTGTGAGATAATAAATATTTGCTGTATAAGTTTGGAGTAATTTGTTACACAGCAATAGATATCTAATACTAATATATCCTCTTTAACCTTTATGTTCCTGTATCTCTACCTTTAATCCAGACCTTCTTTCTCGGCCCCTTCTCTCTTGAGAGAGGGTCTACCTTTGTAGTTCAGACTGGCCTCAAGTCCACCATGACCCTCCTGACTCAGCCTCCCAAATGCTGAGATTAAGATGTGAGCCACCAGGCCTACTTCACATTTCTACAGCTTTCATATTCTTCATACACCGCATAATGTGCCAAGTCAATATGTGGTGTGGGAGGCTCCTGAGGAACTGAGCTCAGAGGGAAGGAGGACTCTCCATGAGGACCTGCTCTATTCAACTATAAGAACCAAGAGCATGCTAACCGCACTGGGCCTGGATCAGCTGCTGTTTCCTCGGGCTTCCCTGTCCCAGCCCGGGAGTCAGGAATCTGAGGAGGGGAAGAGGGAGGCTGGCAGAACATGCAGACTCACTTGAGCATGATCTCATACTGGCCGGCATGCCAGGGCTGCACGTCCTTTAGGACCAAGGTGAACACGTCCTCATTCTGGAGCAGCTCAAAGTGACCAGTGTCCTTGGAGAGGGCTTTGCCATCTCGGAGCCAGTGCACAGTGGGGAAGGGGTCTCCAGCTATGGCACAGGAGATGAGGACGCTCTGGCCCAGGGAGGCTGTCACTGAACGAGGCTTGCTGATGAACCAGGGCTGGGTGCCATCATGAGGTTCTGGAAGTAGGCAATGGGGAAAAAAAATGGAGATGGAGGCCCTTCAGCACAGAGCTTGGCATCCACTCCATTCTCTATGATGGCAGAGGGTCGGAAGACAATAGGATACCAAAGAATAAGTGGTCCAGAAGTTATTGGACTGGGTATGCAGAGACAGCACATACTCATTGAAAAATCTGCCTTGGTTATGTTATCAGACGATAATATTAATATCAGTTTATATAAGCCAAAGTGAAGGCAGCGAGTCCTGGCAGTATGGAGTCTTAGGCTGGGATATTGCTATGCTCATGCTCTGCATCCAATGAGACTGCTGAGAACTGTTGCTCACTGCATGTGTTTAACTCACCTTTCTCTTAAAAAGGAGGCCTCAACACGAGAAAGGACTCATACATGTGTAATTCATACCCCAAACCATCAATACCAAATTGTCCATCCAGTTTAGCAGTACCCCGGGGAGAGCTGGGACTTCAGAAAGATGGGAAGGAAGCCCCACTCTGCAAGAGTTGGAAATGGAGACAGTGATCTGCCTCTGAGGCTGCAATGGGACCAGAGCAATCTCCCATGTTTCCTTCACCTCTAAATGGCTTTTGCAGAAGCTGTGCCCCCGCTCCCCCAAAGCAGCTCAGGTTCACCTTGCACGGTGAGCATGGCCTGGGTGCGGACTTCCCCTGCACTGTTCCAGGCCTCACAGGTGTATGTGCCTGTGTCCTCCGGGAACACCTCCTGGATACACAGGCTGTGCCGGCCACCTTTCTGTTCAAAGTGGAAGTCCTCTGACTCCTGGATCTCATGTCCATTGTGAAGCCATATCACTTCTGGAGGTGGGTTCCCTGAACAGAGAGTAGCAGCAGAAGACTGTGAGAGAGGAACTTCCTTAGCCAGGAAGCAACTGAGCACTTAACATGCTACTGCTGGGCTAAACATGCTACCAGAGTTTGCCTCAGTCTCCTCACATGTTCTGCCTTGTAAGACTGTTAAGAGAAATACCTGGCTGGGCGGTGGTGGCGCACGCCTTTAATCCCAGCACTCGGGAGGCAGAGCCAGGCGGATCTCTGTGAGTTCGAGGCCAGCCTGGACTACCAAGTGAGTTCCAGGAAAGGCGCAAAGCTACACAGAGAAACCCTGTCTCGAAAAACCAAAAAAAAAAAAAAAAAAAAAAGAGAAATACCTGGGTCAATCTAACCTTTCCTAGCTGCCCAGAGAATGGCATGCTGCACAAAGAGAATACCTAACCCTGAAGGTGTTCTCTGCCATGCCCTGCCTCACATGGAGATTCCACATGCAGACAATGGTGACGCCATGGCAGCCCTTGCAGACTATCACCAGGAAGAACTCTGTAAGCACCACACAAATGTGGTCTCGGGACCTCAGCTTGCAGAGGGTTTCTAAACATGGCTGGCAGTGGGTAGGAGTGCTGGCCCATGTTTCTGGAATGTGTTGGGGGTACAGATCAATGACCACGTGAGAGCTTCCTTAGATATGAAAGCTGACCATGAGGCTCTGCTTCCAAAGGAGTGAGGCCCCTGGGGAGGCCTAAGAGAGAGCAGATGGTCATTTGTCTGCAGGGGCAAGACACATGTCTGGAGGCCAGTTGCAGAATGCCTCTTATCTCTTGCAGTTGGACATCAATGAGACATCCAATCGGCATGACAAATGTGGAAAAGAGACCTAGCCTCTGTCTGGGACTGTCCTGGAAAAGCTTTCATCCTCCAGGAACTGGGGATCATCATCCCTTCAAGAACAAGTCCTCAGGTCCTCTCACAGTTCATATTTATTACTTTTGTAGGTCTAGAGGAACTAGGAAGATTTTAGGAAGATGGGTCCTTCTAGTTTTCAGAGGCACTGATAGGAACCAAGAACCACAGATGTATCCAAAGGTACTTACTCTGTCATGAGTGTGGAGCTGGGACTTTGTGAACAACGCTGTGGGATAATCCTTCTGTATGCTGTGAATATGTATTACTCCCATTGGCTAATAATAAAGCCAATTGGTCTATAGCAAGGCAGGATAAAGTGAGGCGGGACAATCAAACCGAGGACTGGGATGAAGAGGGCGGAGTCGAGAGAAATGAGAACAGCTACTCAAGAAGCAAGATGCCAGAGGACCGGTAAAGCCATGGGACACATGGCAATACATAGATTAATAGAAATAAGTTAATTTAAAAGTAAGAGCTAGTTAATAAAAAGCCTGAGTTATTGGCCAACAATTTTGTAATTAACATAAGCTTCCGTGTGTTTATTTGGGACTGGGCAGTAGGGACAAAAAATTCTGTTTACATATGGCACTCCAATGTTGTAGGTGTACATTCATATAAAGCATAAAAATGCTTTTTTTTTTTTTTAAAAGAGAGGGGTGTTATAGACACACAGAAATGGAGCCAAGAACAGCTTCCTAGGTTGAGTTTCTCATGCAGGCCATGGCATAGAGATGCATCCCTTGGCTGAGGCATGCAGGTTTGAGCAGCAGCATGGTGGATTCCCTCAGTCTTTCCCAGCCATGCACTGCATGGCAGACTTAGAGGTTTTTGCTACTATAGATGAAAAGGTTCAGTAAGAACAGGTTCAGACAAAAAGGCCTCTGAACACAGTGTTTGAAAAATGTGCGTAGGCTTGGGAGAGAAAAGAAAGGGTAAAAACAGTCATAGATTGAAAAATAATAAAGTCCTTAAAAAGGGAATAGGGTAATAAAAAACCTATGATAAGCCTCATAAAGATGAAAATACACAGAGTCTGGATTCTGTATTTTATTGTGTTACCTTTGGATTTTTTTGACTGTTAATGGGTGACTGATAACTACTAAGAGACATTTGATTGTGAAAGCTACTAAATTAAACCAACCTATATATTTAAAAAATATCTTGACTCCAAAATTTAAGTCAAAATGTATGTCATTTTTGGGGAGAGATTGTGTTTTTGTTTCTGCAGGAAATGAGAGGCTATGGATTCATTTTGGATTAAGGAAAGTCAGGTTTGATCAAGAAAGACCCCTGAAATCCTAACTACAGACATGGGAAAATAAACCTAAAATAACTACAAGACACATGATGTATATTTTACCTGCTCAAACACATAATGAAAAATCATCTTTGGCTGACTTGTGTACGACACACAGATTATATTTGTATTAATATACATATGTTACCTTTAAAAGTTATATATTTTCAGAACAAGGGGACCAGACACTAATAAAAATGGCCCAGGTGATCTAGCATCCAAAACAGCTGAGATGATACAGCCTCAGGAAATACCCCAGCCAAGACTTAATAATTATCCTGATATTCTCAGGGTCCCTCAAAGATTACCAACACCCACCAATCAGCAGGAAGTAGTCTAGAAAACTACACCTACATTCCCAAAATATTGGTTATAAATGTTTGTTTTCATTTAAGGGGGGTTGGTTACAAATTGTTATTGGTCATAATCAGTCTCTTTCTAAAAAAAGAAAGGGGGATACAATATAGAAATACTGGAGGAAAAAGATAGATTATTGAATCAACTTTAATGCAAAAAACAAATGTTAATATCAAAATATTTTACATGGGTATGGATTTTGGTTTATTGATAGAAATTTAAAGTTAATTTTCTTATATGTATATTTCTACTCTTGTTTAAGGACAGGCTCCAAAGCTACACAGAGAAACCCTGTCTTGAAAAACAAAAACAAAAAAAGTAATGTATCATTTAAAAAAATACAGATGAATAGTTATCTATAATAGTAAAACTTATAATCATGTTAACTAGGTTTTCTAGGTATACAAAGATATATTTCAGGTAGATAAGTAATCTTCAAATACTTCAAAGACTTACAGAATATGACATTTAAAATGTTTTAATAACTTGAGACTTTTCATGACAGTGAGACATGTCTGCTTCTAGCAGCACAAATTTATTCCAGAGAAGATGATGGGTATCAAAGAAACTCCATATGGAGTTTGTTTTCTTTATGGCAAAAGATAGTCATATGGGCAAAGAAACTGCCCTTGCCTCAATTGCTGACAGTTACTGTACAAACTGAACCAACAGGATGCAAGAAAGGTGAATGATGAACTTTTCCAAGACAAGGTAGGACAGTCCTTCAAAATTACCTACTTCACAGGAAAATCTGTAAGATATGCTAGGCCTGTAGGCCAAAGATGGATGCTCCAACATTGCAAAGAAACTCTGGCTAACTGTCCAGGCAGTCTGATGTCCCTGTCATTAGGAAATATTTCATCTTTCTGGAGTCTTTGATAGAGTTGAAGACTAGTCATAATTATAATTTTTCTTAGTTATGATAAAAGGGTAAATTAGATATAAAACTTTGGACTCACCAAAATAGTATGGATAATTGAGTATTTTCTCTAATTTTGTGAACCACAAATAGACTGGATATTGTATCTGTAATTCTTGCTTAGTAACTGTTTTGTTGTATGTAATTTTACTATGTTAAAGTTAAAACCTTCCTTTTTTATTAGACAGAAAGGGGGAAATGCTGTGAGATAATCCTTCTGTATGCTGTGAATATGTATTACTCTCATTGGTTAATAATAAAGCTGATTAGCCTATAGCAAGGCAGGATAAAGTTAGGTGGGACAATCAAATTGAGGACTGGGATGAAGAGCGCAGAGTTGGGAGAGATGTGAACAAGCTGCCCAAGAAGCAAGATGCCAGAGGACCAGTAAGCCACAGTCCACGTGGCAATACATAGATTAATAGAAATGGGTTAATTTAAAAGTAAAAGCTAGTAAATAGTAAGCCTGAGCTATTGGCCAAACATTTTGTAATTAATATAAGCTTCTGTGTTTATTTGGGCGGGGCAGTTGGGACAAAAAACTCCATTTACAGTGAGCTTTTCTCCTGCTATCCCTAGAAAGGACCAGGAGAGCTCAGTCTGAGTGCAAGCCACATTTTTTTTGTGCCTATTTTAGAAGCTTTAGAAAGATCTCTGATCATCAATCTGACTCTAATATCTAAAATCTAACTCAGATAGCCTCTAAGACTTGAGACCTCACACAAGCTCATTTTGCACCATTTAAAAACTCTCTAGAAAATCTTTAGGGTCTTTTAAGTATAGGCTTATGTTATCTACAATTGGATAATTTGACTTCCTCTTTTCCTGCTTGCAACCTTTTTATTTCTCTCTCTTGCCTTATTACTCTGGCTAAGGTTTCAACCACTACATTGATTAAGAGCAGAAAGACTCAAAAGTAGAAGGGGGACTATTTGGAAAAAGAAGGGGGCTGGTGGGAGAAAAGGAAGGGTAATTAGTAAATATGGTTAAAGTACATGATGCTTTTGAATAAAATAGAATTATGAAACTCATCATTTTCTACAATGAATATATACCAATTAAAAAAATAGTTGGAATTCTTTAAAACAAAACAAAAAGGTATAAACCATAAAACAAAAGTGAAAAACAAAACCCCGAACTTTCCATTGGAACTGGCCACATTAATCTTAGTCATCTTCTTCCTCTGGACCATATAACCCTCAACCTAGAAAATGCTACCCAGATAACAGAAGAGAGAAGCCAAGAGACTCCATTTCCTTGAACCCCTTGCTGATGGTTCCATGATGATTTTCTGGGCATCTAAGAGCAATACCCCATTGCCACACGATCACCCTCTTACACACCCCAGGAAGAGGGCTGTATGGACAGACCTGACACCTGGACTGTCATAGTGACCTGGCTTCCATCCATGACTTTGAGATCAGAGAGGCCTTGCAGGAAGATGGGGGCCATGGGCTTGCTGGGAACTCGTGGCAGAAGGCATTCCCTCTCTCCTTCACTTTTCTTTTCTGTGTGGTGGAAACAAAATGGGAGAGAAAGATTTCTTTCACACACTCAACAAACTCACTAGAGGACACAGCTGTGCTTAAGCTCAGGTCTCATGCACGCTGGGAGGTTCTGGAGATCACTGGAACGAGGTATGTCCCATGTCACTGCTTGACCGGACAGTGCTCTTGCTTGACAGCAGAGACTAAACAATGAGGTTCCATGGAGTCCTGTGCAAATAAGCTCAGCTTCCTCGGGAGAACCTCCGGGAGGAAGCTCACCCTTGGCATCTTCATGAAGATTTTCCCCCTTAAATTCTCTTCACTCTCTTGAATTAAGTGATTTACTCACATGGCACAGAATTCAAAAGATGCCGAAGGGTCTATGTAAAGTTTCTCTTCCAAGCTCCCTGGCACGGTCTCCCCAGAAGTAAACAATGCTTGGTTTCTTCTTACTCTTGCGAGACATGATATATGTGTACAACACACACGGTAAACAGAACAATTCTACTCCTTCTTCTTTCTTCTGCTCCCCATCCCCTCTTTATTATTTTTTTATTTAAATTTTTTTCATTATACCAACCACTGTTCCCCCTCCCTCCCCTTCTCCAGTCCCCCACACACCTTCCCCCCATCCCACCCTCTCCCATTCACTCCTCATAGGGGGTAAGACCTCCCTTGGGTAGTCAATATGGGCTGGCATACCAAGTTGGGGCAGGACTAAGTCCCTTCCCCCTGCACCAAGGCTGAGTAAGGCATCCCACCAGAGGGAATGGGCTCTAACTCAAATCCGGAATCTCATACATAAATACATACTATCCTATCAACCTCTACTTCCAAACCCGTTTCCTTCCCTTTTTGAAAAGTAAACTAAAGCTGGGTAGGGCAACACACACCTCTAATTCCTACACTCAGGTGCCTGAGGCAGGAGAGCAGTGGGTTTGAGGCCAACTTGGGTAAGACCATGTCTCAACTAAACAAAGGAAAACTACAGGGTGGGATGTGACTCAGTGATTGAGAGTAACCTCTCCTGGGGAAGGCTCTGGATTTATTCTCCTCTCTCTCTCTCTCTCTCTCTCTCTCTCTCTCTCTCTCTCTCTCTCTCTCTCTCTCTCTCTCACACACACACACACACACACACACACAGATCACACTAGAGCGCCAGAAAGCGTATCAGTGGGTGCCTGCAGCAGGGGGTGGGAGATGGATTAGAAAAGAGCACTAAGGAATGCTTAAGAGAAACAGAAACGGTCACTTTTCAGTTCGGGGTAAATGTCTCCTCATGGATATAAACTCATTAAGTTCAACTCCTAAAATACATGCAGCTTACTGTACTTTCATAATACTTCAGCGAAATCTGGAAGAGGGATGAAGGGAATGTGCTGGCTAAGGGCAAAGACCAGCACAGGTCTCTGGGCACAGGCCTAGCCCACCCCCTACTTGGCTCTCTGAGGAGACAGACTGACAGACGGCCTTTTCCTTAAGCTTGCCATCCTCCCCCAAGCTGGCTTCAGCCGGTCCCCAGGAGGTAAAGCACTATCTGCTTCCAATGCAGGATGAGCCCCTTGCTACCCAGTGTCTATCCTCTCCTATAGCTCCCCACCCCCACGCCCCACCCCGGGGACTGGAGAGCGTAAGATCAGCAGCACAGGTCTATGGTTTGAACTTAACACAACTCAGGTGAACAGCATCAAATCATTCTTTTTTGTTTGTTTGTAGTATTGGGTATCAAACTCAGGGCCTGAGACAGGCAAGGAACGGTTCTACATGGTTCTTAAGGGTCAAGATGAAATTGCATTTTCAATATGGAGGCATTGGAAAGGGGCCCTCTGAGAGGTGATTAGGTTGTGGAGACACCACCTTATGAAAGGATTAGAGACTTTCTCAAGAGGTCGATGACGTTCTTTGGATACTGAATTAGTTCTCTAAGGAGGGAGTTGGGTCTCATGGAGCTGGATTGGTCGTTGTGAGAGCGGGGTGTTCTACAGTGAGTCCTGCATTGCTCTGTCTTCAGCACACATTATTACACGCACCCACTTCCACTGCTTCCTAGCTACGACAGGACGGAGCAAGCAGCTTTCCTGAAGACCTGTGAAAAGAGCTGGGCTGTGCTCTCTGGCCTCCGGAAGTAGGAACTAAGAGAAACCTCTTTACTTTACAAAGTAGCCATCTTTGGGTAATTTGTTACAACAGGAACCACACGAACATACTGGAATACCTCTAACTTAAAGTTGCAAGGGAGGACTCTGGTATTTTGGGTCTCCAACATCATAGGGAAACAAATTCCAAACCTTCTTTCAAACTCTGGAACTCTGGGGATAGTTTCCAGGGTGTTCTCTCTACCAGGTTAAGGCCTAATTCAAACAAAACATGTTATTTTTTTTTTTTTACCTGCGGCCACAGAGAGCAAAGCTCTCCCAGCCCAGGCTCTGGGATAGTGGAAGGATGAGGCTCAGAGGGTTGAATAAAGGTCAGAATAAAGCTTCCTCAGAGCCTGTGTAACAGGGGGATAAGACGCAGGCACACAAGAGCAGTTAAGACAGATAAACTCCATCCCACCTCTGGCCACCAGGTAGGGTTCTTGATCCCCTGCCCCCATCTCAAGAATTCCCTTTTGATGGAGTGCAGCTGCTGGAGGGGGTCTTGGCAGGAGGCTGTGGGGGTGGACTTAGGGAGCCTGTATTGGAAACGCACAAATCTACCTCATGTCCCTGCCTGGGCTGCCGCGGTCAGGAAAGCTGGCTGCCTCCGGAGGGTTGAGGAATTTCCTGTCTTGCACAGATTGAGAGAGCTTGAGGACAAACTGTTTCCCCTCTCCAGAGGACTCCCTGTTCCTGCATCTCTGCCTATCAGCCCAAACCATGGAGCTCCGTGCAGATGGACTGGAATTCCTGCTGGGTGCTGCAGGAACATCCAAATTCCAGCTTGCTCGTCTTCCAGCTGGTGGCTGTCTGCTCTTCCAGGCCATCCTCTCTTAGTTCCCCCTATTGTCTGTTCCCTCACCTGGGGCCCCAATAAAGCCACAGTACCCTGTGGATCTTGGTTGCTGGAGTCTAAGGACCTGTCTGTAACCCCCAAACTGCCCTAGTTGCTGAGAAGGGCATGAGGGATGGTGGACAGGGAGCTTGCAGGATCTGTCTGTCCCCTGTAGCTGGACAAGAGACCATGATCAAAAACAACTTGGGAAGGAAAAGGTTTATTTCAGCTTGTAACTCAGGTCATACTCCATCACCAGGGAACGTCAGGACTGAAACACAAAGCAGGAACTGAAACAGAGGCCATGGAGGAACACTGCTTACTGGTTTGTTCCTTATGGCTGGCTTAGTCTGCTTTCTGTTTTTTGTTTTTTGTTTTTTTGGTTTTTTTTGTTTTTTTGAGACAGGGTTTCTCTGTGTAGCTTTGAAGCCTTTCCTGGAACTCACTCTGTAGACCAGGCTGGCCTCGAACTCACAGAGATCCGCCTGGCTCTGCCTCCTGAGTGCTGGAATTAAAGGCGTGTACCACCACCGCCAGACTTTTAGGTCTGCTTTCTCATTCCATCCAGGATCACTAGCTAGGGAGTAGGACCACTAGCCTAGGGAGTAGCACCACCCACAGTGGGCTGGGCCCTCTAGACATCAACTGTCTATAGACTGATCTTATGGAGGCATTTTTCCCAGTTGAGGTTCCCTACTCTTAGATGACTCTAGCTTGTGGCAACTTAACAAAACAACAACAACTAGCCAGCACATGACAGAAACCTAGACTTTGGACTACTTATCTTGACCATAAGTAGGTCTCTGCCTCTACCTGAAGCCCCACATCTTCATCTGTCTCTAGGGGCTGTGTCATCTCAGGGCTTCAGGGGGTTTTGTAGACAGAATGTGAAAATAGTATGTACATCCACAGATGCTCAACTTACAAGGATTTCCTATAAACTTACTATAAGCTAAAAAAGTAGCATATGGCGAATATGCATTTGGTGAACCCACCCTACGGAGTATCCCAGCTCAGCAACACAGCTCACTGTAGAAGGTTGGCTGTTTGATCCTGGGACCACAAAGCTAACTGGGTCTTTCTGCTCCTTGTCATAGCTCACGTTGCGATCTCAGGAAACACTCGAATTCAAAGTTTAAAATTTGAAGTGAATTTCTATCAAAGGTGTGTGGCTTTCACACCATCATAAAGTTGAAAATTCCAAGTTGAACCATCCTGCATCAGGATTGTCCACATTCATTATCAATGGCATCCTAAGAAGCAGGGGATCTTGAGCCCTCCCTGATGATTACTGACTCACTCACTTTATTTACTTATTCATTCATTCATTCATTCATTCACTCATTCATTTATTTGTGGCCCAAGTTCTGTGATGTCATGCTTGGAGATACCATTAAGATGGTTCTCAAAGTAAATTAATAGAACTTTGCTGCATCTCCCCAGGTGAGGAACGAGAGGAACCACAGCTCATGCTTTAGATCCAGGGCAGCCACAGCCCCTGGTCCTGCTCTTTCTTTCCATTAGTCCTACAGTGGCAATGGAAGAAAGAACAGAATGATGGGAACTAATCTGTTCTCAAGCCCTCAAAGGCTGGTGTTCCTGTTTGTTTCGACTCCTTCCAGCAGGTGCAGGGGAAATCACATGGGATATGGTGATCCTGAATTCAGGCCAGTGAACAGCAGTCAATAAGCCCAAGTTCTTCATGGGGTGAGAAAATGGACCAACCTTCCCATAAACACATGCCGAAGAAGACAGAGAGGGCCTTGGGTTCCCAGTCAGTGGCTTCTTTCAGAAACCCAAAGAAAAGGAGCCTGAACTAGCTCCTTGAACCCGAGTCTCAAACCACGACCTGTTGTGGGATATTAGTTTAAAATATGTTACATTCATTTATGCTGTAGAATATTTGTTTAATGAAGTAAAGATGTGTTGCATTCTTTTAAGTTGCATTTGTTTAACTCTGTGAAGCTGTGTTACTTTGCCTGTCTAAAACACCTGATTGGTCTAATAAAGAGCTGAACAGCCAATAGCTTGGCAGGAGAGAGAGGCTA